GTGTGTGTGTGTGTGTGTGTGTGTGTGTGTGTGTGTGTGTGTGTGTGTGTGTGTGTGTGTGTGTGTGTGTGTGTGTGTGTGTGTGTGTGTGTGTGTGTGTGTGTGTGTGTGTGTGTGTGTGTGTGTGTGTGTGTGTGTGTGTGTGTGTGTGTGTGTGTGTGTGTGTGTGTGTGTGTGTGTGTGTGTGTGTGTTGCACCATTCCACCTCATTAAGCAGACATTGTACTGCAGCCATAAGACGGCCGTCAACACCGTCGTTTCGCCGACGAGCTAACGCAGTGATTGAGTGGGAGACGAGGCGCTCTGCCCGGTCGCCCGGGACCGATGCCGTACGTGCATTTACATAAACATCGCCCCCTTTTACATCTCATTAGCATAGACGACACATTAACATGAAGGAGGGAGCGGAGGAGAGATGGATTAACAAATGGGGCAGCAAGAGGGAGATGCTACAGTTGTAGTGGAGATGTTTGGCACCAGAGGAAACATTCACAGACGCTTTGCTGGTTTTATTACTCCGACAACATTTCTTTTCTGTCTTCAGGGGCCAATTTGTCTTTGTTAGTTTTTTACCCTTTCTCTTCCTCCACTTAACTCCGTTCTCTCTCCTGTGCTGCATTTTCATTTTATCTGCAGCTGCGGCTCGTTTCCCGAATCAATTCAGTTCAGTGGAATCTGTTGATTCACTCCGGCAGAGGTAAAGAGGTGAATCCATGCCGGGCTTTGGAGTCCACATTAACGCCCTCATTGGCTGCGTTGGCCGACTGCAAAACATCCTGATAATGCTGAACTTTGAGGGAAGTTATCCTCCACTTCTAGACAAACATGTGCCGGCAAAGAAACTGCTCACCAAACATCTTTACAAACATTACAAAGATAGACATTTATAGCACTCTGTTAATAGTCTATAGAGATGGTTTGGATTATTAAGTTGGAACTGATGATTATGATTCCTTGTTAAAAGTTTAATATATGTTGTAGAGCATCTATGAACATTATTTACATAGATAGTTGATACTGTCAAAGGTGAATAGTTGATTTCTGGTCCATCTTTAAATACTGAAGACATTGATATATTGAATTACCAGAAAACGCGCTTTTACCCTTTACAGTCTTACAGCCAGTGATTTGAATAATTGGGTTTTATGTGGGAGCGGTTGCAGGGAATCTGTGCCGTTAGTGATTTTCCTCAAAAGTGTGTGTGTGTGTGTGTGTGTGTGTGTGTGCAAATGTCCATTACCAGGTCTTTTCTTACTAGAGGTTTCAGGCTAGTGTGTAGGGATATCATTTCTGTGTGTGTGTGTGTGTGTGTGTGTGTGTGTGTGTGTGTGTGTGTGTGTGTGTGTGTGTGTGTGTGTGTGTGTGTGTGTGTGTGTGTGTGTGTGTGTGTGTGTGTGTGT